CATATTATGAGGCACAAAAATACAAAAAATAAAAGATTGATGGATTGTCAGTAATATCTAAATAATAACAATAAATAATATTAAATCTCTCTCTGGTTATGTCTTAATTTGGAACTTTGACATCGAAGTTTAGCGAAATTCATTATATATATACATATTGTATGAAGTATAATATATTACCTTGAAGGTGTCGGATTTCCCATGTATGACAACTTGCCCATGTCTGCATAAGTTCGCATTAAAATTTACATAGGAATCACAGCGGGGAATGCGACTTTGTGATAAATACTTTCCACGAAAAACTCATATCAGCGATGACTACAAAATACTGTAAAAAAAAAAATTGAAAAACAAAAAACTTTAATTTAATAAAAATTCATTTGATCACTTAATTTGAAGTTGGTCTATAAATGAAAAAAACGTCTGCCATGTAAAGTCATATTAGCTTCCTCACCGTTTTCATTTGCTAAAAAATATCTATATTAAAAGGTATAAAAATTTTCTTATGAGATTAAATCTCTAGAAGAAGCCGTTTTCGGAAATTCAGTAATCCCTCAACATATAGTGGGTTTGATATCCACGAGTATTGTTTATCAGCAAGTACTAAAATGCTAACAATTTCCACATTTCCATATTTGATAATTCGTAATTAAAAAAAAATTCCTGTGCATATTGAATATGTATCTCACTACTGTTAGTGCAAATGACGTATGTAAAAATTGAGTGTTTTACTGCAGAGAACCTAATTATTTCTTTATGATTTATTAGTATAATTTTATATTTTATTGCTCTCTGCTATTTTTCATAGTAGTAGACTACTTATATCAATTGCAGACAAATTAATGTCAGTAATAGAATACAAATTGAAAACTTTCACTTAACATCTTTGCACTAACAGTAGTAGTGATTAGTGTTGCCCAAACGCAAGACCAAGACGAGACCGAGACGGTCTTGGTCTTGTTCTTGTTCTCGGTCTTGCGCACTCGGTTCTGGTCGTGTTTTTGTTCTAGCAGATAGTAATCTTTTAAACTTAATATGGGCAGCGGAAGGCTTCTAAGTAACTAGTAAAGGGTCAAGTAACTGGTTCATTTTAGGGTGTTACCAGTTATTGTGAAGTTCTGAAACAATCAAAACTATCCTTGTCCCACCCTGAATATTTTTATAAAATCTCCCGAGAAATAAGAAAATGTTTTCTTCAGGCTTGGGGACTGAAGCCTGAGCACTACATAGACCATGAAGATGAGACTACTGGCGGAGTTTGGACCTGGACTTGACGAGATGACCTCGGATCATCAGAGGCATGTATGAAACTTACTAACTATACCAATTCATATTCAATAGCTAAGTTTTAATTCCCAATAGATTTACTAATGTTAAAGTATTTTATGGCAATAATTCTCAAAACAGTCCGTCTGAAATCATAGCTTTACTGCCATTGATTAAATTATTTGAATCATGTATTTAATTTATGGTATATAGTATTTGCATATTAAGATTTCTATGTTATTTATTTATTATCTGAATTTGCCTCTACCCGATAGGGTCATTGGCAATTCTTTCTTCACTCCAGTTTCCTATATTCAATTGTAGAATCCCGTTTTTTTTAAAAAGCTCATCAGAGTTTTAACATCTTTCTCGGTATCTTGTAATATTTCCCGAAGAGTACTGTGTAGGTTGAGGTTTTTTCTTGTGACTACATAGTATTCACAATCCACGAGTATATAGTTCACGATTCTAGGGGAACCACATCTGACGCAGGTAGGTGGCTCTCGACCGTAGATTAACTAACCTAATAACTATGTTATTTGTATATTATCCTTTATTAAACATAGAAATATTTTTTTTTTTTTTTAGTAAAAGTTATTTTAATTCTGCCATCTATTTATATCATGATGATCACAGATAATTTTGGTAATTAGAAATAATGATAAACACAAACCAGCCTTTGAGAAAAGAAATTCAATTAATTAACCTTGGACCAATCAGTATATTGTAGATTCAAATTTATTTTACTAATTTGTATACAATATTTATAGGTAATTATCATCAATAATTATCCGGTGGCATCCCAAATAAATTTCACAACCCAAAATAATAGCATTTAGATATTCCATTTAAGACATTTTTAAGACGTCTGGTTAAAGAGATCTTCAGGTAACCTTTTAGCCACTAAGTCATCGAGATATTACCATCTTTTAGATATCCTTTTTAAGAAGCTAGGTGGGAAAAATAATTATATTATACCTCATCAATTCCAATTCATTACTAAAATGTTAGCTCCATGGAGCATCTTCCTCCATCCCAGCCAACCATGTCTATAATCACTCATAATATAAATTTAAATTTCAACTAAATATTTATCATTTACGTATTTTCACATAATGATGACTTAGAAAAAATTAACAATTTACTTATGATAGGTGATAAATACTCATGACGCTGTCAATTTTAAAATTTTTATTAGTGCCGACGTTTCGACCCAATCACATCAGGGCATGTTTCGAGCACTGAAGGTGTTCGAGGTTCGTGTATTCAAAAGACTGCGTCCTGATTATTTATCACTTATGATATGTAGAAGAATCGACTTCTTTCAATAATTTACTTATAATATTGGAGTTGGTTTATGAAATAAACTAAATTAATTTTTTTATCATCTAATATTCATTATACAGTAATTAAAACTTGATGATATAAATAGATATACATTTCTATATCATGTTTTTTTTTTTTTTCCTTATTTTTCCATTCACATCTCTCAAAAGTGAATGGTCTGTGATGTTGAGAAGTAGAATATAGAGAAAGTCGATGGTAGTTGACCTTTTCTTTAATAATTTTAATATGTGTAGTTAGTGGAGGAGATCCCTCATCCAGCTTCTTTTGAGCCTACTACGGTTGTTACGGAACATATTGACTGTTATCATGTGTTTTAAAGTAGTGAGTTGGTATGTCCATGTATGTTATTGTCAAATCTTTTATGTTTTCGTATGTAGTAATTAACTGTTGGCATCTGTAGATCTTTATGTAAAATAAGGTTGCTGACTGACCAAAGAGTCTTGATTATATTCTTGAAAGATTTTTATAGAAAAGTATGTAGTTTATGTAAATGGGTGTTTTTGGCTATCCTTAATATCTGTGAAGCATAGGTCCAAATAGGAATTAAGTGAGTAAGTGTAAATATTAAATTTCTGTCTAAGTTACACTTAGTTATTTAAGCTCAAGTTTAATAATAAAATCTGAACATGAGGTCCTATGTTCACTATTTCTTCTAATTTAAACGAAAATTGGATGTCAAGTAATATGTACCACGAGCGCTGAAAAAAAAAAATCAGAATGTAATTGCTTAACATACATTTTTATTATTTTAACATTTTTTATTTCAATTTTATGTACTTTAGAAAGATATTTAATGAATATCTTAATACTTGTGTAATAACATATTAAATAAAATAAAATGTTATTCAAAACGAGAATATGAATAATTGATAATAGAAACATAGCAATGAAAAAAATAAAATACGACACATTAATAAAATTAAAGGATACAAGCAAATAGGCTTCATATTAAAAATAATTTTAATGTATTTAAAATTGGTTCAAATATTATAAGCCTTCAATATAAAACATAATTTAACAAAAAAATTATTTTATTATTTTTAAAATATTCGAAAATTAATTCATATATTGTTATATTGGATGAATTTGTTCTTTCTGCAATTATATGAATGTGTAAATTTAAAAAAAAATATTATTTGTGTTATTTTGGTACACTGAGTCGAAATAATCGGTAATCTCTAGATAGATGGAAACTGGTAATGAAAGTATTACCAGATTTTAAATACTTAAACAGTATGGGTGTCCATTATTTTGAGTTACTTTTGTTTAGAGTCAGCTATATACAGTGTAGGACTCTTTTTCATCTCTCAGCAGAAAATGTTGAGAAATTCCATCCGCTACGTCTTATAACACTTTTAAATTCAAAATAAAATTTTATTATGGTATGGTTTCTATTTATTATTTATACATAGAACATTTTTAACTAGTGTGGCCCAAAATCGGCCTTCGTCTTGCAATTTGTAAGACCAAGATCAAGACCGCCTAATTGTTGCAAGACCAAGATCAAGTTTGGTCAAAAAAAAAGTTTATGTGAATAAAATTTAAGGCAAAAGTTAATAATACTAGATAATTATAGTTACTGTATGTAAAGAATTGGTAGAAAGAATATACTTTTATATTTAACTTTAATTTTTCATTGGGGCTTAGTTAGATTTTCCCATTCTGAAAAATGACAGTAATAACTCTAAAAATATATAGTGGTAGCATTTTTTAAAACATTATTCAATTTCCGACAAAACTATTTTTGAAAAATTGGTTTTAGTAACATTGCAGTGTATTGAATTTTATACACTGATTTTAATAATTGTTCTCTTGACCGTTTATATTGCTTTTTCCCATCAAATAAATTCTACTCGAATGATTTCACTGATTGGTTATCAGGAAAATTAGTCTAATTCAATTATGTTTAATTATCATATTTAAAATTAATTGTTAGAAATTGGTAGAAAAGTCATGTGAGTAGACACACCAGAGTATTTATTTAAATAATTGGTGACATTGTATAAATTGTTTTAATTCTTCACCACTCTCATGAATATATTTAAAATTTAAAAAAAAAAATTAAATCGGAAGAAAAATCATCAAGTTAGGGGCCTATCATTATCACAATGACTTTAATGTACTGTCAAGTTAATTTTATAAATTTTGTTGGACTTTAGAATGTTTATTTTAATGAAACATCTAAATGTACATATTCTGTAACGTTTTTCTATGATCTAAAGTAACATGTTTAATAAATACAAGTAAGCTAATAGTTAACTGCAAGACTTGCGGAACTCTTGCGCAAGACGAAGACTCTACTTGGTCTTGTATTTGGGCAACACTATTTTTAACCATACTATGCCATAATAATATATATTATATGAACTATAATAATGATATGTTACCTTGAAGTTGCCGGATTCCCCATGTGTACAACTTCTCCATTTATGCACAATTTCGCTTGATAATTTGCGTATGAATTACACTTAGTTGCGGGAAATGCCTCTTCGTGATAAATACTTTCAATGAAATACTCAATGGAGCGACGATGACCGCAATAAACTAAAAGAAAAATGAAAAAAAGAACACTTTAGTTCTATATAACTATACATTTCTTTCAACTTGTTATTTTTTATTTATAATAATTGTTAGGCAAAGAGGTCCCTCATCCAGCTCCTTTTCAACCTTATACGGACGTTATCATGCATGTGTGATGTGATCATGTCATTTATGGGTATATAAATTAAATTTAATTTCATTAAAACTGTTATTCAGTGGACGTGGAATTAGATGTTCTACAACTTTTATTTTATGATTTTTTCTCTTAGAGAACTCATTTTCAAGTTACAGAGCCATTTGTAGTTTGTCACAGTTTTTAGCAGTCTCAGTTTAGAGTAATTTGTCTCAGTTTTTTACGAATTTGGTAAAAACCAGTGTTCGTAGACCGTAGTTACCGACTACTTAAACAAATTATTAAGTTTAGGTACTAGATCGATGCAGATGTTAACGTTATATAATTTCTTAAAGAATGAAAAATATCGAAAAAATTCTGTCTTTGCTGTAAAAAAATTTACCCTTAGTGGTCCGCGTTAGCGATTTCGTCTTTTTTTTTTTTTTTATAGCTCAACTAACATATACAAGTTAAAAAAAAAAAAGACTTTTTTCACAATAATTTTCCAGTTTCGATCCTCAAGTTACTAGTCTAATATTCTTTAAATCAGCAGCCATTAAGATCTCATTTTTTAAAAATATAAATGTTATAAACATTTAAAATTTTCATGAAATAATGTCGATTTTTTCTCAAGGTCTCTCAGACTACCTGTATCATGGGTTAAAAAAATCATAGTCGATTTCTTAAAATCAATAAAATGTTACTTAATGACTTTTTTTACTTTCAATTACTTAAATATATAATATATAGTAGGGAAAGTATTGCGATCGTGAAAATTTTCGAATCTACACGTTTTGAAGTCCCCTCAGTCCAAATAACCAAATCCCGCAAAATAGTATGTGTATCTGTATGTTATCAATCCAGCTCAAAAAAAAAAAAACGAAAAGTCGTATAAAACTGATATTACGAATTTAATTAAGGTTTGTCATACCAGACTGAAACGACAAGAAACCGCTCGACTTTTCCGATTACTTCAGCACTCAGTAGAGAAACGCTCTAAGCTTGCAAATAATTACAACAGAGTCATATAAATTACTATAATAAGACCTATTTGGACTTACGGAGTTGAGATATGGGGCTCCACTAAACTATCGAATTCCTTTCGTATCCAATCCTTACAATCCAAAATCCTACGTAAAATCCTCAATGCTTCCTATTTTGTTACAAATAAAACCATCCATAATGACCTTAATGTTTCTTATGTTTCAAATCTGGCCCAATCCAGATACCTATCCTTCCATAATAAACTTCAGAATCATCCCAACCCTCTCGTTTCTAACCTTGCTTCCTCTTCAATTCCTGATAACCCTCCGAGGCGTCTGAAAAGAAGATGGTCCCGTGATCTCCTAATCATTGGACATATCATTGGAGTGCTGCCATTGGGTAGTTACTCAGCAAGTGTTTTCACGTCATTATATCCATACGTTCAAATTTACTAAATGCATTTCTTTAATACAGCTGAAAATATCTTTAAGAAATAATAATAAAAATAAAGAAAATAAGGTTTGTGCATGGCTCAGATGTGACATCAACTTTTTCCTAAAAATTGGCTAATCAGAAGTACCACTTTATACAAACGGTGAAACACATTTTTACAATTTTCTCAAAAACAGCTCTAACGATTTTGATTGAATTCGATATATCATTTTATAATGAAGTGGTATTTAATATTATTTAGGTCTTATACCCATTGATGTCACTTTACAAAGCTTAAATTCCCAATGTTCAACTTGTCCTCTCTTAAAGTACCTTTGATTTGGTTTATTATAAATAATGAATTATTTCTCGTTGATAAGAGTTATGAAAAAAATGTTGAATACAACTTTTGAAAGAATTTGATAATTGAATAAAGGAGAAACAAAAGAATAAAGGTTATCCAGTTCGAAAATGAATATTCGGAAATAATAGTCAGAAGGTATACGTATAATACAGTTTTCAATTTCAATTTTATTTCAGCTACTTACGGTCAAAAATCGATGTACATCCGGCTTGCTGGGGAACCCCTCCATTAGGAAAGAAGTCAGCATGCCCAATTGGTCCCAAGTACCCAAATAAACCAGCGCTGGTGTGTATCGCGTCAACGAATTGTGCATCTCCTTCATCCAATCTGTCATTCGGGGCTTTTAGTCCTTCGTAAAAAATTCTTGAGGGGTCCAAACCTGGATTTTTCAAACATTTAATGATTATTAACAAAAGAATAAATAAATGAAAAAAAAAAACAACTAAAGTGTGTGCTTTAGACCACACGAGAGATGTGAAAGGCGAGATTAATAATATGAAATATAAATTATAAATAATAGCTCATTATTATAAAGAGGATGAAATGATGAACATTTCACTCGCCTACAGTATACAGGCCTGATTTTTATTTTTTTTAGATATTTTATTCCGTATCTTTAATAAAATTCGTTAACATTTAGTTTTCGACACTATTTTTCCCTTTTCGCCTCTCTAACACGGCTTCGCGTTAAGATAAAACTTTGATTAATAGCTCATTACAAAGATAATGAAATATCGAACATTTTTCTAATTACCAATATGCAGGCCTCAGTTTTAATTTCTGAAATATTTTAATCTATACCTTCAATAAAAATCGTTATCATTTGGTTTTTAACACATTTTTTTTCCTTTTTGTCTCTCTCATACGGTATTTCTTCAAGATACAATTTTCAATTTCAATTATATCCCATTACAGAAAGGATGAAATGCTGAATACTTACCTTGGTTACAGTATGCAGGTCCGATTTTTAGTTTCTGTGATATATTAATCCATATCTTCAATAAAACTTGTTATCATTTTGTTTTCAACATTATTTTTCCATTTTTGCCTCTCTAACACGGCGTTGCGCTTATATGTTATTTCAAATAAAAGCTCATTATAAAGAGGATGAAACAATGAACATTTCCTTCATTAACAGTATGCAGGTCTGATTTTTAGTTTTTGAGATATTTTAATTCATATGCAAAAACACTTCAAGTAGTCGACTCCAACCGACTTTGCCCGATTGTTACACATTGGAGATCTGACGGCTCAATCTAATTCAATCTCCAAAAAAAAAAAAAAAAAAAATTCAAAACGCCTCTAGTGAAGTTTTCACTACAAAAACTACAATAAGCAGGAAATCCTGTCCATCCTTAGAAAATGTACTTCCATATCTATTTAAACACCTTGGTAGATTAATTGGGAAATTGGAAGCAACTAATATTTAAACATGATATGGTTGTCGGTTGTTCACGAAACTCTTTTGGATGTTGGCATACACCTGGAAAGGGGCGAGGAGGCCGATTGGACTAACATAACATGTTTGCTAATGTTTTTAAATTATTTTACTAAAAAGTAAGTAATGATTTTTGGAGCGAGCAGCAAGAGCTATTTTTATGTTTGATGTCTTAAATTATTCGGTAAGATCTTGCGACTGTTTTGGAAGAATTTGAGCTCAAAATAATCCTAAATTGCTGTGTAATATGTGTTAAATGAATCCGCTAAAAGGTACGTAAATATGTTTTGCTATAAGATAGTATGACCGAATTTTAACTTTTGACAGTTGTAATTGCTCTGCGAGATCTCAAGAATGTTTTGAAACTTATGCTATAAAAATTAATTTCTAATATTTTAAACACTGAATTTTTTTTTTTTTTTTTTAACTTTTATTATGATATTTACAACTGTATTAGTATGAATACATCTAGTAAATTTGTACAGAGAAATATTATTACATGATACACGTTTGTTGAGAAACTACCCACTGGTAGCACTCTAATAATTTGTCTACATGAGAAGATCACGAGGCCATCTTCTTTTCAGACGCCTCGGAGGGTTATCAGGAATCGAAGAGGAAGCAAGGTTAGAAACAAGAGGATTCGGATGGTTATGAAGTTTATTATGGAAGGATAGGTATCTGGATTTGGCCAAATCGGAAACATATGGAACATTGAGGTCTGAAAAATTTAAAATAAATATATATTTGAATAAATGAAATTGGGCGATATCCACCATTGGGGAATGTACTTATCTACTGAAACACCTTAGTAGATTGGTAGATGGAGTGACATCTACGAATATTTAAGTTTGGTGTAGTAGTCGGGTTTCGTTCACTCCTCAAGACTTTCGGATGCTGACTTGCATCGATACACATTTCATTTCTCTCACTTCATTTCATGTATATGATTTCATCCTCTCTGTAATGGGATATTATTCAAAATTTTATCTTAACGTGACGCTGTGTTAGAGATACTAAAAGAAAAAATAATGTCGAAAACTAAATGATTACGAGTTTTTCTATAGAAGATAAGGATTAAAATATCTCAGAAACTAAAAATAGGATCTGCATACTGTAACCGAAGAATTCCATCATTCTGATAATGAGCTATTAGTTATAATTTATATTTAATTTTATTTATATCGCCTTGTTGATGTTTTAACATCTATTGTGTGGTTTAAATCACATACCTTAGTTTTTTTCATGTATACAGACATTTAGATAGATAGATAAAAAAAAAACTTTATTTTGGGACAAAGTCCCTTTAGAACAACAAAATTGTACAAAAAGAAAAGACTGGCCTAAAAGTTTGGAACAATAAATAAAATTTTAAAAATAAACTAAAAAGTAAATAAAACATTAAGCGAACAACCTATATACAAAACAGATAAAACTATGTACAAAACACTTAAAACTATGAACAAAATAGTTAAAACTATGAACAAAACAATTTAAAAGTATATATATATTGGTAGAACAGCATTAACATATACTTTAAGAAATGAAGACAGAAAAAGAGATAAAATAGAATAAGTTCTTTTCATAAAAAAACTTCATTTGTATATATAGTTTTTTTTACCATTTAAATGTTTTTGTTTTTTTTCAAAATGGGGTTATTTTTACTAGTTTTTATATACTTTTACTGAGTTACTGTATATATTCTTTAATATTGATTAGGCGGTTGTGAGAGTAGCGCAGGGATTTGGGTTCCCTGCCTGATTGTATATATTGTATTTAGGTTATTTTATCTTTTTATTGTATATAGTTTTTATTTATTATTATTTAGTTATTATTTTACTTTTGTTAATTTTTTTTTTGTATGTACGGTATGAATGTGTTCATTTATCAATATAATTATTGTCCCCGTGACAGAATATTATATGTCTAAATAAATAACATAAAAAAAGAAATATTGATTAATTTAATTTTTGGCCAGACGTAGTTTTTATTTTTTTTTGTTCATAACTGTTATTCATAAGGGGCCTCGTCTCAGAATAAAGTTTACTTTCTATTTATCTATATATATATATATATATATATATATATATATATATATATATATATATATATATATATATATATATATATATATATATATAATTTTAATTTAAAGTTAGTTATAATTGAATAAAAAAAAATAGATGTATTGTGAGGCGTCGAAAGTAGGAAATACATGTACTACTCCTAACAAATAGTATTATCGTATGATTATATAATTTTTTTGCAATACATATATAATATTAATAGTTAGGCAGGTATCTGAAGGTTTTTTGAACAGAAATTGGAATAGGAGGTTTTTGAATATGGATATGGAGGTGTCATACCGAATTTTGATTTTGAGGGAATTCCAGAAGTTGGCAGAGCGGATTACAAAAGAGTTTTGGAATGAGGCAGATCTGTGATAATTTATATAGGTAAGCGAAATTAATAGTTCTACTCACCTGTTATCCTGGCCACCTTCCCATATCCAGAATCTCTGACACGTCCACCAGCTATTCCCATCAGGTGTGCTCCGATGCTGTGGCCAATCAGATGCACTCGATCCAATGTGGCCAGTTGCAAATTGAGTAGCCGAATTACTATATTCCCTATGGAATTGCCTATTTCTGCCGATTTGATGCCCAATAACAAGTAATCAGATTTCGAGCTCCATTCAACGATGACTAAATTATAATCTGACATAGTTTCATAAGCTGAAAGAAAATACATAAAACATTATGCATATTTACTAACTTACTAGGATGTAAACGATACAATGTACTCGTAAGCCTACTTTTTAAAACATAGATGGATGGATCACGTTTATATATTTATAAGTGTTTTGGGCTCTTCATCCACCTGGGTCATTTTCGCCCTGGGTCATTTCATCAATTACTATACACTTAACAAAACTAAAGCTAAGAAATACAATTTAAAATTTAAAAACTTTAGAATAGTTACAGATGAATATGATAGTACATTTGAATTAAAATTATAAAAATTGGAAGTTAAAGATTCAAAAGGAGATCAGTTAACAAAGACAATAAAAATAAAAGTTAATAATTTTAAGAACAAAAGCTAAAAAATACATTTTTAAGTAATGAAAAGTAATATTAACAGAAGTAAAGTTAAGTGTAAATATTAACCAGTGTAATTACAAGAACCATAAAAATTAAATATTAAAGATTAGAAAAAGATAAGTTAACAGTTAACAAGGACATTTAAATAAAAGGTTAATGATTTCAGGAGTATAATCTAAAAAGACGTTTTAAAAAATAAAATTAATATTAAAAGAAGAAAAGTTAGAAAGTACAATTTAAATATGAAAAATTTGAGTTCTACCAATGGGTAGTTTCTCTTCATGTTGTACATGCCATGTTACAAATTTCTCATTTACTTATTGTATTCTCTATGTAATACAGTTGTAAATTCCATTGAAATAAAAAAAAAAAAAAAATATATGAAAAATTACAAGAAGACAAATTGAAAAACCATTATAATTAAAATTATGATTGAAAGAAGAAAAATTAACTGGTATATTTACAATTTGAAGAAGAATCTACAAACTTAAAAAACTTAACAGGTATATTTAAAATTATAAGATTTAATATTTAACATTTAATACCTCGAATAGATAAAAAGATCCGTTGTTTCACTCAGGAGTGACAAGGGTGTAAACATTTGGTTCATTCAAGTCTAAATAATAGTTCATAAATGTTGTTAAAATAATTAATTTTATATATTGATAATCGAAGGCTGGTTGTCAGTTTCCAAAATGTAGAGAAACGACACTACAAACGAAAATGTGTAAAACACTTGACTGAAAAGCGATTCGATCTTATGGGTTATTTACTTTTTTGGCTAGAATGGAGTGCATTTTTGGACAGTATAAAAATTTCGTTTTTAATGTTCTGAACTTCATATGTAAATGGTTTGATTTACAAATGCTTGGTAAGTTGTAGGTAACCGGCTGATGAGTAGATAATTTCATTTCTGAGCTTCTTGCGATTTCAAAGATTCATTGGTTTGAAAAATCAATACCGTTAGGTTTGAACAAAAATTCCGGCATACCAGCTCTAAATATAAAAAATATGGTTTTCATTCCTTCTCCTATCCTTCTGTTATTATTATCTCACTTCAGGACATTATTAATGCGATAATTAAGTTTAAAATTACTGGACATGAAGGCGAGACGATATTAGTTTGTCACTAATGCAGTGAAACTTCAAAATTGTAACTTTTGTTTTGCCCTCCAATGTCCAACCGTAGAGTTACCTCACCATAGTGTGCGGCTTTTGCAGTAGATGTGATATATTGTAGATAATTCAGCTAAAAATTATAATGGTTTACCTGTTCTGATGGGTGCTTCGGAAATCGGTTTGCCACCCTCCTGCCAGCCATAAGCTATAAATTTCACATCGATATCGTCTATAAAGGCGCATCTCCACTTCCATTCGTCATCTTTGAGATCAAGGCCTAATCCATTTGGATTGTATCTGAAAATATTCTTTCTTTAATTTATTTTTTGAAGAAATAAAAAATCATTTAATATGATTACAGGTAGAGTAGAATTTTAATATGAAGTAAAGTTTGATAGAGTTTGGTACCCGGGACTGCTTTACAAACTCCGAACATTCCTACCATCTACATGCTTTCTCTTTATCCGTTCTTACTTTACTGATAGTTACTTTAAAGTAAATCACGACAATGCCCATTCATCCCTCTTTTCCCTGTCAGCTGGTGTTCCTCAAGGTAGTATCCTAGGTCCTATCCTTTTACATAGTTTATACAACTGATATCCCAACCCATCCCAACACTGTCATCACCACATATGCTGATGACACATGTCAACAACAATTGCATCCCAAACTCTTCAATCACACATATCAAACCTTGAAGAATGGTGTCAAAACTGGATAATTTAAATAAATTCAAATAAATCCCATTATATTATCTTTATCCTTTGTTGTAAACCAATGACTTCCTGTCCTACAGTATCCTTTAACTATCCCTCGCTTATTCCTGTTGAACGAATCCGTTACCTTATATCTTTATTCCATATCTTCCATTCCATCCTCTTCAACAAATTAAAATCATTATCTTTCTCCAATAGTTCCATCTCTTGGTTCCAATCTTTCCTCTCCTAACGCACCCAAGCAGTCTCCATACCCAATCAACCACTATCTGCCTACCTTCCTTTATCCTCCGGAGTTGCCCAGGGTTCAAGCATATCTCCTCTCTTTCCGTTCCGCCATCTCCTACCTCAACATACCCGTAGACTCCTAATTTCCTCCCTCATCTTCCCCCACTTTGACTACAGCTGTATGGTGTCTAATGGCCTCTCGGTGGAGCTCCGTGATAGACTGAAAAGGTTAATGAATAGCTGCGTAAGATTTGTTATCGGTGCCCCGAGATACTCCCATGTCCCTCACCACATGGTCTCTCACCACTACACTGAGTTAGGGTGGCTCTTTCCCTCCTTTAGAAGACAATATTTCCTATGTACGTTCCTCTATCAAATCATCAACAACCATCGTTCTTCTTACACCTACAACCTTCTCCAATTCAAATCCTCAGTCCATTCCCTTTCAACAAGATCTCGACCTTCTGACCTCTACATCCCTTCGCACAGATCTGCCTCATTTCAGAATTCCTTTATAGCTCGCGCTGTCAATTTCTGGAATTCACTACCTATCAAAATTCGGCATTCCCCCTCCATATCCACATTCAAATTCCTCCTATTCCAATTCCTATCCCAAAAATATTCAGATACTTGCTAAACTTTCGATATTATACATTTCTATTACCATCATCAAACGATAGTGCTATTCTATACTGTGAACTCCACTAGGGATGTTACAATATTTTCCGGCTCTTAATGCTACTGACCGCATCTATTGTTTGCTTTTTTTATTTTTATTTTTATTATTATTTTTTATTGGTATATAATTAAATCTGTACCTCTAGCATTTGACAATGATGAGTCTACATATCAATCATTATTTAAAGACACTGATATTTTCTGTTGTCAGCTTTGTTTTTTCTTTGTTAGCAGAAACACACCTCATTTTAAAGAAGAACTCAATGTATTTTTTATTATTTTATTTTTTAAAAGAGTATAATTATAATTTTTCCTACTGTACATAATCTTATGAGTTTTATCATAGTTTTAAGTGTTTTGTATATATATATATATTTTTTTTTTTGTATATAGCTTGTTTAACTAATATTTTCTTTACTTTCTCTTTTTTATTATTGTTTTATTTTGGCCAGATGTAGTATTTTAATTATGTTCTATTTTCACAATATTACTCAATTCTTCTTCGGTGCATACTATTTATTTTCAAGTTAATTTATTATTAGCCATATTAACACCAATTTAAAAAAAAAATTTTGTCACTTAATGACTACTCATCAAAATGACGACGTTTCGGCTCGTCGAGCCATTTTCAAGTCTAAAAAATTTTTTTTCATTTACAATCATATATTAACTTTAACATATTTCAAATTATAAAGATACTTATTATGTACCTAAAATACCCATCATGTACCTGTCATTTTCACTTATGCGAATTGCAAGCGTCTACTCATAATAAAATTCCTTATTATTGTCATGTTCACCTTGTTTCTGAGTCAACCACATGTCATCCATCTCATTTCTATTCAGTGACTGAATAGAAATGAGATGGATGACATGTGGTTGACTCAGAAACAAGGTGAACATGACAATAATAAGGAATTTTATTATGAGTAGACGCTTGCAATTCGCATAAGTGAAAATGACAGGTACATGATGGGTATTTTAGGTACATAATAAGTATCTTTATAATTTGAAATATGTTAAAGTTAATATATGATTGTAAATGAAAAAAAAATTTTTAGACTTGAAAATGGCTCGACGAGCCGAAACGTCGTCATTTTGATGAGTAGTCATTAAGTGACAAAAATTTTTTTTTTTTAAATTGGTGTAAATATGGCTAATAATAAATTAACTTGAAAATGTTCTATTTTGTTATTCTAAAGGGACTTTGTCCCAGAATAAAGTTATTTTCTATTTCTATTTCTATATCTTTATTCACAGTTCTATATTTCAACACTACTATCATCTATTCTGTAATCAAATTACTCACTATCTGTATAGATACATAACTTTTCCAACTATAAATACCAGTACAATGAAATTGCTCAAAAATGTTGTCCTAATTGTTTAGACAATGACCTAAGTGATAATAATGACTAACTTGTAATTATTTATTTCAGATAGTTACTTATTCAGCAGGTTTAGTTTCAATTATAAACTATGTGGATTGATATAACGTTGTTATTATTTCTGCCTGTAGTTCCTAAATGGACATAAAATATTATCTAAATAAAAAGTATCATCTTAAAATATTTGCAATTGTACTCTTACCTGTTGAACAACGTAAATTTCAAATCTGAAATAAAAATAAAAATATTATTAATATTTATTTGAAAAATATTTACCATTCAATGGTTTATTATTTCAAAATGATTAAATTATAATATGAGTTAGGTACCCCTTACAATAATTTCCTTGCCGCTACCGGGAAATGAGCAATATAAAAATTGCTTCATAATATTGGCTCGATTGGTTAATTATTTTTTATGTAGGCAATAAAATTATTCTTCAAATGACCAACTGCGTTGCTTCAAGTAAGAAGTTTTGTAATTATCAAACAATACTAAGCACATCGGCTTCGAAGGGAACATGTATACTTTGTTCAAAGTGCATATCTATATCCATATCTCAGCAACAAATAGACCCATTTTGATTTTATTGTTTCATTATTTTAATTTAGGGAATTCCATTGTTCCCACTGTATATATATATATATATATATATATATATATATATATATATATATATATATATATATATATATATATATATATATATATATATATGTATATATTTTGAGATCTTTGGTACGACTGATTTTTAAACACTTTATATTTTTTACTTAAATGAAAGCGATAGGAGTGTATTGAATTTCCAATTGGTTGCAATATTGAAACAAAATGTCGGATGGACATGGTCGTATTTCTAGGATTATTAAAGGCAAAGCACATTCTTCATAATCTTATAGTAAATATTTTATTGAAGAAAACAAATTGAAATAATATTTATTGAATAAAAGAAAATGATAAAATAAATTAAGACAAAATTCAACACACAATGACATTGCTGCATAGTGGAACGGGATGTACGGAATCGAAATTTGTGACTTATGATTATTTGATTAGACTTAAGGATTGGGTACAGACGTTTCAAGATGAGTATACCTGGATTTTTCCCATGATGAGATACAGGCGTAATAGGATAGTTAGGAACTTTCAGCTCATCGCGGAAAGTTAAATGGGATTTCGGAAAAGAGTCTAATGATAAGGGTAATGGGCAGTTTGACATTCTCTTGAAGATTTATCAGGAAAAATTATAAGGTAGAATTGATGTTGGGTTTTTTTTTTGGGGGGGGGGGGCTGTGAAGTGGATTTGGGTCAGGAAATTTCGATGGGTAATTTATGCGAAAAGTTATTGAAAGAGGGTCCGGAGTTGGGTCTAATTTAAGAGATACTTATGATGGGTGTTTTTCTAAATATTAAAACAGGATGTGGGGTCTCTGGTTGGAGTTCGACTCTTAGGGGTAGATGATGAGGGGGGTTTGCCGTCTTAGAGATTGAGGCTGAAGATTTGTGGTTTTAGGCTTGGATTGGGTGGTTAGAGGCTACAGACGTTGACGCTGCTGCTTCTTGATGGTGGCTTGGGAGTGTGAATAACTGAAATCCTGGAGAGGATAGTCTATTGCTTTAGTGGTGGATGATTGTTGAATGAGGTGAGAAGGCGATGTTGGCATTTCTGGAGAAATTTCCAGATTCAGGGGCCTCAATCCCATTATTCTAAACAAAATTATAGCTTAAAAACGCAATATTAAGTGGTTTCTGCTTTTGGAGATTTTATATACATCACAGCCTACGTATTTTGCAGGGTGGCCTTTGCCTTCCATCTCTTGATTTCTTGAGAATGTCAGATGAATGTGCACCGCCACATTTAACGCATCGTGATGTCATTAGACTTTTGATGTTTTGACATTTAGTGCACTGTATTATTATGAATTCTGTCTAAGTTCCTCAAAACGGACAATTGAACATACAAATCGAGTTGCCTAAAATATTTCAATATTTTTTGCGAATTCGAGGTTTACGAATAGTAGTGGTAGCGGATATCATTCCCTAGGATGTGGCACGGGTGATACATTTCTGACACTATGGTGTATTTTTTCTAATTTTCATAGCGCTTATGTAGGTAGTCGGATGCAGACTTCTCAATACCAATCTATATGTACGTATCTGAGTGGGTAACTGGAAATGTTATTTTTTTAAAAGTCAAATTTTCGATTTTCTTTCAATTACTTGTATATGATTAACTCTTGAAAAACATCGAAGAATTATAGATGGAAGCTAGTCGACTGTTCTACATATCATGGGTGATAAATATTCAGGACGCAATATTTAAAAAAAATAATTAATTTCTACCAACGTTTCAACCCTAACATGTGGATCATCTTCAGGGCGTGGTTCGATTGCTTTTGAGTACTTGAAAGTATTCAGTGCTCGAATTTTTTTTGCCTCGACTCTGTCGTAAGCCCATTCGAAATTTGAAGGTTTCTAATATTTCTCCTTGTACTAGGATTCTACATTTGAAAAATGAAAAAAATGTTTTATTATTCTGGGACTGTTGTCCCTTAAGAACAAAATATGAATACAGATTATATGCCTGTGTGGCTACAATGGAATTGTATATTTACAATGAAAGTTGACTTACGATAAAAATACAGAAAAGAGAAAAAAAAGAACAAGTAAATTGTACATATGTATGAGAAACTAAAATAACCTTAATAAATTGAGGTAGTCTCTGGTGGTGCTCAGATATTTCTCTAAGATATATTTCACAATCATTCGGATTGAGAAAGGAGTAGGTGCTTAAAGAGGAGTGGTTTAAACGAGGAAACTGATTGAGCGTGTCGAATATCAGGTGGGATGGAATTCCAGAGGGAGGCGGCTTGTATTGCAAAGGATTTGTCAAACGCAGCAGTTCGGTGAGGAGGAGGATAGAGGTCGGAAGTACGAGATCTGGTGGGACGGGATTGGATGGAATATTTGAATTGTAAGCTGTGAAAAATGTAGGAGGGTCGATGGGTTCTAATAATTTGGTACAGAAAGGTGGCTAGGAAGTACTGACGGCGATAGGATGGGTAGAGCCACCTCAACTCAGTGTAATACTGGGTAATATGCGTATCCCTTGAGATTCCGAAAACAAATCGTAGTGCGCAATTCATTAGGCGTTTAAGTTTGGCCTCGGAATCTCCCGGGAGTCCACCGTACACCATACAGCCGTAGTCGAAGTGGGGGAAAACAAGGGAGGAAACTAGGAGTTGACGGGACTTATATGGAAGGAGATATCGTAGACGATTGAACTGTTTTAGGGTGGAGATAGTGCGACGGGAAATTTGGGAGATGTGAGGTTTCCAGGATAGGGATTGATCGAAAGTAACACCTAGGTTTTTAACGGTGGTGTAGAATAAGATAGGTGAGTTGTTCAGGAAGAGATTGGGAGATACTGGGGAGGATTTGAGGAGTGAAGGGGATCCGATCAAGATGGCTTTTGTCTTCTCGGCGTTCAGAGTGAGCCTATTGAGGTTTGCCCAAGCACTTATTCTGTCAATATCTTCCTGAAGTTTTTGAGTGGCATCTGAGATATCTGTCGGATTAAAGGAGAGGTAAATTTGAATGTCGTCGGCATACAGGTGGTAATGACAGTGCAGGATAGAGGATGGGAGGTCATTTATATAGATGGAGAAAAGGGTGGGGGATAAGGAAGAGCCTTGTGGGACGCCTCTGGTCAGAGGTAGAGATTCTGATGGTGGGTTATTAGGAATTACAACGTACTGGGAGCGACCGGTTAGGAAGGATTGGAACCAATTAAGGGAACTAGAAGAAAAAGAGATATTTTTAAGTTTGGTTAGGAGGATGTTGTGGTCTACTGAATCAAAAGCTTTGGAGAAGTCTAGGAGAATAAGGATGGTTAGTTTCTGCTGATCTATGGCTGTGTGAAGGTCTTGGGAAATTTTGATTAGGGCAGACTGAGTAGAATAACCAGGCCTGAATCCAGACTGGTAGGGATTTAGGAGATTATTGTCCTCTAAAAAATGGGATAGCTGGGATTGGACTAACCGCTCCAATGGTTTTGAGAGGTTTGAAAGGAGGGAAATCGGTCGGAAATCATTAGGAACTGATGGGTTTGAAGTCTTCTTCAATGGGCGTACTAGGGCGGTTTTCCAGGATGTAGGGAAGGTAGCATTTTGAAGAGAATAATTGTATATATGATAAAGGATCGGAAGAATGGATGGCAATGCGGCTTTAATCAGTCTGACTGGGATGTTGTCGGGACCGTAATCATTGGTATGGGACTTCTGAATGGATTTAAGGAGCTCATCTGGTGTAATATGGGAAAGAAAGAAGTGAGCAGGATTAAAGGAAGAGAACATAGGAGCCAGACTGGACGTGGGAGATGTGGATGCAAGAGGACAGGAGACAAAGTGAGCGTTGAGGTTATCAGCAGAAACGGAATTGGACTGAGACTGGGGTGTATTACCAATGGTCAGTTTTCTAAGAATAGCCCACGTAGCCTTGGTATTGGGAGAGTTGGATAGGGAATGATGGTAGTAACGGGATTTAGCACGGCGTACTGCTGATTGAGTGCTATTTCGAAGCTGTTTGTAGGAGAGAAAATCATCAGGAAGTCGAGTTCGTTTAAACCGTCGCCTTGCAGCATCTCTTTCTCTCATACACTCCCTCAAAGCAGGGGTAAGCCAAGGAGCTGGAGGATATCGGATGGTTTTTGTGATAAGAGGAGCATGTCGGTCGAGGATAGAGTGAAGTTGAGTGGTTAGGATTTCTACCATGGTGTCTATGGATTTTGAGGAGTAGATGGGATCCCACTGGATATCGTCAAGACCTTCTGACAATGTTTCGTAAGTGAGATAATCTAGGTTTCGGAAGGATATTGTTCGGGGAGAAAAGGATGGAACAGGGACATTGTAAGAGATCTGGACAAGATCGTGGGAAGATAGAAACGGAACCGGGTGCTGAGATGCGGCAAGGAGTTTGTCTGAGGAATCCAGGATAATTAGATCGAGCCAGGACTCTGAATACTGAGTATGATGGGTTGGATTGTAGGGTACTATGTAAAGGCTGAGAGAATTAAAGAGGTTTGTTAGGTAGGAATAATCAGAGGATGGTGCCAGTAAATTGGTGTTAAAGTCACCGGAGAGGATGATGTTTGAGTAGGAAGGGATTAAGTTGTACAATAAAGTCTCAAGTGATTCATCGAAAGGAATTCTAGGAGGGCGATATATGACAGCAAACAGAATGGCAGATGAGGTGGTGAGGATTTCGGCGAAAAGGTATTCAACGTGCGGAGAATCGGTTATGGAAGAGCAGTGAAGGATTTTGGATTTGAGACTGTCATGGACAAAGAGACCTACTCCACCACCCGTGCGATCTACTCTGTCATGACGAAGGAGAGTATAGTTAGGTAGAAGGATCTGGGAGGACGGGATTGTGGGTTTCAACCAGGTTTCGGATACGGCAATTAAATGGTAGAAGTTATGGAGAAAAAAGTCGTAAAATTCATCAAAATGGGCTAAGAGTGACTGAGCGTTGACGTGGCAGGTTAGAAGGATATTAGTCATGGAAGAAGGAGGGGTGGCTTGGTAAACGGACAGAAGGAGTTAAGGATAGGAATATTTCTACAGCAGCTAGAGCCAATTGTGTGCAAGATCTCCTAGATATTAATAAGGATGGTAAACAAAAAATATAAAATTTAGTTAACGAAAAGCATATTCCTATTGTGCAAAAGAAAAAAAATACACAAATTAGAGTTTCTGGACAGATCAGACCTAAAATATTCTCATAAACAAAAATGAAATTATTATCATAGTCTATTATTAAAACAAACGCAACAAAAACATAAAACTGGGGATATAAAAAAGTAAAAACAAAATTGTTCAAAGTGATGTAACATGTATATGCATGTCAAGCAAACGTTTCTAAATCTGATGGTGAGTTGATGACGACGACCTGCTGTCCATCGTCTCGTCGACATTTCACCTTGCCTGCGCTAAACCAACTGTACCTGATTTTTCCTGCAGACCTCTTTTGCCGGGCCAGCCAGTACAGGTGTCTGTTGGTTACGGACATAGCTTCGCTCAGGTAGATCTTGTGGGCGTCATTTTCTTGCCATCCGAGGTGACGTGTTGAAAAATCCCTAATGACTTTTCGCCTCTGGATCAACTCATCCCTAAGCGACTGCCGGACGAACCTTACCACAAGCGGCCCAGGTGTATCGTCTTGCCTGTTTCTTATCCGTTCTGCATAGTCAATGTCCTCCACCTTTAGACTAAGGCCCAGGCCCGCCCCCACGCTCATAACCAGGCCCATCGGGGTCTCTCCAGATCTCACTGGGACTCCTCTTATTTCTATTGACCTGGAAAGGTGCAGTTGCTCACTTTTATTGAGCCTGATTTCGAGCTCCGAGACCCGAGACTTGAGAGTCGTGTTTTCCAAGACCAGTCCGTCAATCTTGGAATTTTGAGCCTCCAGTAGTGACTCTATAGAGTCTAATTTCGCCGCATTCTCAAAAGTTATGGATGCTTGCTTTTCGAGAGATATTTTTAATTCTTTCACCTCGTTAGCATTGGCATCGAGGGAGAATTTTAATCCCTTGACCTCTTCTGTTAAATTTTTAATGGCAGCAAGTAACAATTGTGACGTGCTGTCGACAGTTTGTTGTTGTGGCGCCGATCTTGGCGGGCTGAGACACTTGTCTGTCGGTTGGATATTTTTCCGTGCCTTTTCACATTTCGGGCATACCCAATTTTTTCGTAATGCCCTCAGTGCTTCAAACTCACTCTCGTCTGCGTTTAGACATTTTCCATGGAAAATGGCTTGACATGTTGTGACAGTGCATGCCATTGTTTTTTTTTCTTCTCTTGCTATGGTCTGTTTACAGATTGGGCATAAAACCATCTTGATAAGCGAGAGAAAAGAAGAAAGAGAAAAAAAAATTACGTAAGTAACGTGGTAAAAAAATTGACGTTACCCCAACCTCGTCACTGGAAACACTGAGATATCTAGTACCTAGTCCTATTTATGCGCATGCGCTCCCCACCTATATTCTTATCTAGAATGCCTGCAATAAATACCTTAAGCCGACTAAAATTATGATTTTTCCTTTCTTCTTCTGACGTGAAACGGCGTTGTATTGAAGAATCTTTCCTGTCTGTGGATATAACACGATTAATAGTTGGTTCTAACCAAAAATTATGACCGAACTCCTTCTAAAAACTGCGAAAATCACTAACTATAAACTGACTGAACTTTTATCATACGCTCTGAACTGAGGTCTAGACCACACTGATAATACCATTTGGTGTCATTTGTGCACGCTTTGTCAATCTCACCAACTTACCGAGAATTCCCAGTTTAGTCATGATTTTCAATGTACAGTTCCTGTCCAGTAATACTTTATTAAAGTTTCAGAATAAAAAGAAGAAATAGATTTTAAAAATCTTTAAGTCTTTGGATTCGAACTCAATACCACTGGAAAGAAGGTTCCTTAGTTCACAGAACCTTGACCGTTAACCTATCTATATAAGATAAGACTCTCAACGATTATTATCGACCAGCTAAGCTGTCTCTACGAGTATCTATTTAACTAGTTAACATGATTGTTAATAACTGTCTCTTAACTCACTATTTAATGTAAAAATGTTCACAAATTCACTGCTTAAAATTTATTACAGCAATATTTGCATATTAAGAAATAACAAAGAAAAAGAGCGATGGAAGATTGATCTGCAGTTGCGGCCATGACACTTGATACTCAATATGAAAATATTAAATATGAGAAATGTAAATAACAAAATAATTCATATAATGTAAAATAATTTTATAAAAATAAATAAATCCCTATAAGATATCAAAAATATTAAGAATGTTTACCAAAAGCCGAAGCTATGTGTACAGATATCACCACTAACAGAAATAGAACGGTTCTCTCCATGGTAACCTCAGTATGACATTTCTGTGAATGGTGAAAAAATGTTTTGTCTGGTATATCTTGAATTAAAATTAACTTTTATCTCTACGACGTAATAATTAACAATAGATAATTTTTTGTTTTTGTCTACCATCTTCTTCTGCGAATCCTTGTTTTGTTAATCTCTTATTAAGATAAAGATTTCTTTTACATATAACATTGATTCACAATCGAGGACATTAGCAATAGTGTTACAGTGGGTTCATTCACACTTTATGTATAATAAATAAAAAATAATTAATTAAAGCAATAGCAAAAAATAATAATACTAAAAATAAATAAATATAAACTTAATCTAATCACAATAACAACTTAAATACAGGCATACTTATATACAATATTTCAAAAACATTAATTCAGAAGAACTCTAACTCGAGATTTTTCACTCCATATATGAAAGGAAAGCAGAAAGCTAGAAGATTTCAGCGGCTCATTCTCACCTCACTGGTATTAATGATCAGTGGAAGCTTAGTAGAAGCACTTAACCACAAATGCACCTGATTTGGCCAGTGACGGAATTGCACTGTATGCATATTTACAAAAGGTCTCGGAGTCGCTGCCGCTTCAACCTTCAAAAAGAATTGTAAAGATGGGTGGATCTGGATAGGGATTGTACAAGAGAATTTGGATGATCTGTAAGGTTCTGAAGAAATTTAGAGAATTTTTTAAGGATAAGGTCTAGAGTATATGGGATATCAAGACTATAGTGCAGAGTTTTGATGTTTACGCAGTTCGAAGCAGCGGCTATTGTTCGAAGGATTTTGGTTTGAAACGATATAAAATTTTCCTCTTCACTTGGTTCTAATCCATAGGTCCAAATATGTTTCATGATTGTTTTGTAATTTTTTGTCAACAGTAACTAAGTAGATATTTTAGTGAAGCGGGGTAGCTCAGTGAGTAAGAACTGACTTTCAGAGCTTTCTGGTGATTGCACAGGATTCTGGCGAGCTCCTCGGCTTTGCCTTGGTAAGGTGCCTCTCATGAGCCGTCATCTTGCCGGAGAGGATTAGAAATTCGGTGAAATTTTAGTGTTTTTTTAGTGGTTTTCCAAAGATAATCCAAAGACAGTGACGTTAGTGAAAGATGGATAAGGTTAAAGATTCAGATCTATCGGTGGCTAATTCTCGCTTTAGTTTTTTGCCTGTTGAGCAAATCCGATACCTGGGACTCCACCTTAACAAACGCCTAACTTGGAATCCTCATACCAGACTGAAACGACAAGAAACCTCTCGACGTTTTCGACTACTTCATTACTTACTAGACAAACGCTCTAACCTTTCAATTAATCACAAAAGATTCATATAGATGACCATAATAAAACCTAGTTGGACTTACGGAGTTGCGCTTTGGGGCTCCACTAACCCATCGAATTCCTATCGTATCCAATCTTTACAATCCAAAACCCTTCGTAAAATCCTTACTTTTTAACAAATAAAATAATCCATAATGACCTGAATGTTCCATATGTTTACGATTTGGCTCAATCCAGATATCTATCCTTCCATAGTAAACTTCAAAACCATCTTAATCCTCTCGTTTCTAACCTTGCTTCCTCCTCGATCCCTGATAACCCTCCTACGCGTCTGAAAAGAAAATGGTCTCGTGATCTCCTAACTTAGATACTTGATTAGAGTGCTACCAATGGGTAGATTCTCTACAAGACTTATCATGTCATATTTTTCTATATATCACAGTTGCTGAATGTATATTAATTTTTACAGTTGTAAATTTCATAAATAATAATTAAAAAAAAAAGTTGTTTGCAATTGTAATACTACTGTAGGTTTGTACATTGCCATATTGATCTGGCACGTTATTTCGTATGGATTAGATGCATAAGTTATTAAGATAAATTATCAAATTGAAATGAATATTGGATATGAATTGTAAGGAGGGCAATACGCTGATGCGACAGTGACGGTAAAGCGTAAAGTTTTGTATACTATGGCTTGGAGGAAATTTCGGGAAAGCATAGGGAATAAGTGATGGGAGAGAGACTGATAAGCAACGACAGCAGTAACGGTATATGCTCTTACTTAAGAGTGATCAGGATGATATGTGAAGCATTGTAATATTTTGAACAGCTGTTTAGTGGTTAATCATGTTCACTAGCGGATCCAGGATTTAATTTTCGAGGGGGGGGCTTCAGCCCGAAAGATTTTTTTTCATTTACATATAACAATAATTAATTAGAAAAGAAAGAAAGAAATTAACTACCTATATGAAATGGTGTTTAAGTGGTTCTTGAAGTCCTATGAAATGTAATTACACGAACAAGAATACTTTAAGAGATAGTTTTTTTCTGTAAAACATGGAAATATTTTACCATTTTTTGGGGGGGAGGGGAGGTGAGGCTTCAGCCCGAAAGCCTCCCCCCCCCCGTAGATCCGCATGTGGTCATGTTTCAGTATTTAGTGCTAAGTCAATGCTTTTGTCAATTCACGGTTTAAGAAATTTATTTTTGGCTGGAAGGAGACAGTGGGTTAAACTCAGTTAAACATCGGAACACGGAGAAGAGGACCAGTACCAAGAAGACCTCCCGAAAACGGTCAGAAGTTGTAGCATATTCTAAATCTGATATTTTGGGTGTGTTAGCGGAGTGTAAATTAGTTCATATTTTCTGTTGCAATTTAATTGTCTAAATCATATTGTTTTAAAAATAACATATGTTTTTATTAGTTATGATGTAAACAAGTTTTTGTATGATTTAATAAATGAATAAAAAATTTATTTTGAATTATACTTTAAAAAATACATATAATAGAAGTCACCGAAGATAAAAATTTGTTAACAGTTTCAGTTGCAGTACTGTGTTGTTATACACAGTTATGTTTTATATCCCACCGCTGCAAACCTTGCGTAATGGGTTAAGGGAGGGTGGCAAATAAATAAATAAAATAAAAATGTTCTTGTCAAGTAACAAATCAGATAGTTCGTCAGTATGATTTCTAACATTAGCATTCTAATGGAAAATGGTTATAGGTTTCTTGGAAATCATTCAAGGATTTCTTAAGCGAGGGATCATAAATAATACAAGATGGGTGAGAAGTTATATCAAGAGGGTAACAAGAGATTTTAATTCGGAGAGAATGGAACCCACATATCAGACTTAAAAGATAAGAACTTACTAGAGGATTTGGCCAGATATACAGACTACTTAACAGAAAATCTAACCTTTCAATTAAAAACAAACTATTAATATACAAGACCATACTGAAAACTGTGGGAGACAACTAAATGTTTGAACAGAAAATGCCTCCAATCCTTCCAGTCTAACTTATAATAGTCAATGCTCCTTATTATATCACGAACAAAACCTTACATCATGAACTTAACATCCCTTATGTCCTTGACGTTATTCCATCCCAATTCTCAAATTTTCACTTAAACCTAATCCACCACCCTAATCCCTTAGCACAATCCGTATCCAGTTCCAGTCATCCCTACAATCCTCCTCGAAGGTTGAAACGGCACTGGCTTCGAGATATTTTGTAAATATGTCATTGGAGTTCTGGCAATGGCCAGCTTCTCCACTCAAGTCATGAGCCTCTGTGGCTGTAGTGCTCTCTCTTAGTCTCCACTGGACTTTAATGCCCGTGACGACGAGACTGAGAGAGAAGTGCTAGGATCTCTTAGAGCCTAACCTTATCTTCTAGATGAGGGGGAAAGGGCTGGACTGGAGCTCCCTTGGTTGATTCTAAATATTGTAATTAAGTATGACTGTTAGTTTTGTTTTCGTTTGTTTATTTTTTCTGTTGACTCATTTCTAATAATCTATGATCATTAATATTTATTTGTTTTCTTTTCTTTTTTCCTTAAGAATTTTCTGTATTATTTCACTACAAGCTATATTTCTTTGTTTTTATTATTGTTA